CACTGGGTGTTATGCACAAACAATGAATCATGGAACACTACATCAAAAACTAATGATGTAATGTATGGTGATTAACATAACAATAAAAAATAAATAAATGTTTGTGGTAAGATGCACAAGAAAAAATTAGAGCGTAGGTCCTTGGTTTGAATTTTGCCTTGGTCCCACTGTAAGCAAGTTACTTAATTCTTCTGAGTATCAGATTTCTTATCTGTAAGTCAAGGGGAAAAAAAAAATGCCTGTCGGGGTTGTTATGAAGATTGTGTGAGATAATGTGTATTTCTAGCATGTGCCTGCATCAGAATAGGAACTCAACAGATAATAGGTCCCTTTCCTTCTTGTTAGAGCCTTTAACAAATCTTTTAATTTGAAAATAGTTCTTTTAAGGAATTGGCATCTAAAGTATCCTGGACCCTAAGATGCTTTAAGACCCAGCTGAATTTTTTGGTTCTGGAGTTTCTGTCCTCCTTCATTCTTACTAATTCTTAGTAATGTATAGTTACCAATTTTACAACCCACAGGAGTATTTTCACTTTAAAATGACCTAAATCAACATGCCAGGCAGCATTTTACATTTACTTTGAAAAAAGAGCTAGAATAATTATTTAGTAGATTACAAGGGCAACTGTCAGTTGAAATAAATGAAAATATGGGAATATGTAAACTGCACATTTTCTTTGCCACTTCAGACTGTCTTTGAATCTTGCTATATTCAGTTTAATCTCACCCTTTTTCTTCCCCTTAATAGGGGAGTTAGAAAGAAAATCTAAAATATCCTAAAGCCTTTTCCATTATACTTGAATTTTGGGTACCCTAATCCTATGGTAAAAAGCAGTTGGTCCATTTATTCCAAGTTGAATAACTGTGGTAACTTATAAATAGACCTTCCTTAATTATGTTTTATAGGGGAATCTCCTATTTGCTGTGCTTTTCTTTGGCTTTTTATAGTTGACATTTTCTTAAAGCATTCATTACATCTGTATTTAAAGAGGTAAAAAGGAGGATTGCTCTATTTATGAACTGGAAACTGGAGGCTCAGAGGTACTCAGATTTTCTTAGCATCATAAAGAACTATCTTGCTTTCTGCCACTTGAGAGGAGGCAATAAAATACATTATTCCAGAGTTGTTATCTGTAGGTCTAGAATTGATGTTTGCTAAATGGGGAAAGAACAAAATTGATACTTGAATACCCTGCATTGTAACCAGAGAGGGAGAAATTAAAATTTCATTATTCTTTAATATGTACTCCCTTATCATTGAAATACATTCCAGTTTTGCTTAGATGGCAGACTCAAAATTTTCAACATTGTAAACCACACCATGCTATCTTTGGAGATTCTTTAATTTTGCAGATGTTATTGAATGCAAAACTCCCAATGGAAATTGCAGATCAAGAAACTTTGTTTTACTCATTAATTTCTTTGTGGAAATCAGTCTGGTAGTGATGGTTATGTTTGCATGGTCATGTTTTCTTCAGATTGGGACCGCTTTTGAAGGTGATCTTGTGTAAATGATCCAATGAAGAGTTGCTGATGCTTTCACTGAAACACATCCCACTGTGGTGAATATTCTCTAAATTACCCAAGACCTTGCTAGTCGACTGTACTAAAAATATCTGGACCTCAGATGATGATTCTGTAAAGTTTTAGCAAACCTGCCACAACTCTTGAGCACAGTCCAGAGCTAACTAACTATGGAATGTTAGGTTAGGTGATGTTCTCCAAGGTCTCTTGTTCCTTCATCTGTCACTTCTTTAGCAGTTCCACAACTCAGTCAGAAGTTCAAAGCTGTGGTTTATTTTTCAGAGTTGAGAAAACAATTTCTCATTGTTGAATGTCTTTTGGGAATGGGTCTGTATTTTAAAAGTGCATATTAAGAACACTAAGTTATTTAAAATCACTTAATAAATTTTGTAGAAACATGTATGTTGTCTCCTTTCTAATAGTTCCTTTTACTTAGTTAGAAATACTTCCAGAGAAAAATAGATGCCATATGATTTTACTCATATGTGGAATTTAAGAAACAAAACAGATGAACACAGGGGAAGGAAGAATAAAATGAGATAAAAACAGTGCAATGAAAAATTAAAGATATCCAGATTAGAAAGGAAGAAGTAAAACTGTTTTATATGTATATATAAATATATATATATGGCTATTTAGTTATCCCCGCACCATGAGTTGAAAAGAATCTTTCCCCCATTGAATTATCTTGGCACTTTTGTCAGAAGTAATTAACCATAAATAACAGGATTTAGTTTTTACTCTCAGCTCTGTTCCATTGATCCGTATGCCTGTCCTTAGGGTAATACACATTGCCTCAATCATTGTTGTTTTATAGTTAAGTGCAGGTAGTAAAGTCTTCCAACTTTGTTCTTTGTTTTCAGAGTCATTTTGGCTATTCTAAGCACTTCACATTTCCATATAAATTTTAGAATCATCTTACCAAAAAGTTTGCTGGAAATTTGATGGGGATTGTGTTGAATCTATATATCAATTTGGGGAGAATTAACATCTTAACAGTTGAGGTTTCCGATTTGTAAAAACGGAATGAATCTCAGTTTATCTAGGTCTTTAATTTTTCTCAGTAAAATTTTATAGTTTCCGGTGTCAAATACTACACTTCTTTTGTTTATTCCTTAGTATTCTTTTTAGTGTTACTGTGAATACAATTGTTTTTTAATTTTTATTTTTATATTTTTTGGTAGTATATAAAAATACAACTGATTTTTGTATATTTATAATATATCCTGAGATCTTGTATTTTAATTATAGATTCCTTAGGATTTTCTACATAGATAATCATCCTTGTATAAAAACATTTTTCTTTTTTCCTTTCATCTGAATTTAATTTTTTATTTTAATTTTTTTTTTAGTTATGTGTGTTTATTTATTTATTTTTTTTATTCTTATGTTAATCCCCATACATTACATCATTAGTTTTAGATGAAGTGTTCCATGATTCATTGTTTGTGCATA